TTTCTTTTTTTTTCTACAAAATTTCTCAAGTCGTTGATTTTTACGGTATGATGAAATAATTTATTAAACGGTACTTGTCCCAAAAACGTCATATTAATTGTATTTTATAGACTATAATTTTTCTTTAACAAGATCAGAATAGCCAAAAAAAAAAAGTAACAAAATAATAATAATACATGAATAAATACCGGAGTTAATCGCTTCTGGTAGGAAGTGTCCATCGTTTGTATTTACTTTTATATATTTGCTAACAAAAAAAAAAAAAAAAAATAAATAAAAAAAATATCTTAAATGAATACAGTATTGAGAGATTCGGAAAAATATTAGTATTTTTATTTTTCTCATCAAAAATCTTCTTATTAGTTTGCTTTTTTGTCAATTTAAAATGTAATGATAATAAAAATATGTATTTTAAAGATGTGTGTCATAGAATTTAAAAAAAAACATTTGATAATAATTCCCCAATCTAATAAATGTATTGATGTTAAAATTGTTAAATTAGTTTATAGTATATATAACTGTTTAAAATTTAAAGAAAGGTCTAAGTTGCTTTCGAAAAAAAATATTAATTTAGATAATTATAATAATATAAAATTATTATACATTTAATTTGTTTTATTGAATTATTAATGGCAATTGAAAATAATTTAAACCAGTTATCATTTAATTACCATAAAAAATATTACTTTCTTGTTTGAACGGTAAGTAAAATTTTCTTTTTTGCAATGATATTATTCAATTATTTTAAACTGTGAACATTTAATAGAAATGTGTTAAAGGTAAAAGAAAAAGAGCCTATTTTAAATTGCGTTTGATCTCTTGCATTTTAAATATATGCATCTCCACTATAAATTTGTTAAATAGCACAGGATTAATATTGTGTTTAAATTTTAGTTATGCTAACTGATAAAAGCAAATTATTTGCAAAATATTTGTTAAAAAATTCTATCTCGTCGTCTAACTACATTATATATTTCATGCTTAAGATAAATATGATTTATCATTTTGAAAGGACCTTTTGTTACTTGCTATTTGAAATTAAATCATTTGCGTCTAGAATTCAATTAGTTCATCGCAACTTCAATTTAAGACTTTCAAGAGATAGTAACCGGGTGTAAATCTGAGTTTTAAATTGGTGGATAAGATCCAGGGTAGGTCAATGGTTTCAAGAATTAGGTCAAAAACAATTCGTACGTATATTTCAAAACAGTTTACTTTTACAGTGACTGTAAATAGATATAAAATTAATACCTACATAATAAATACGTGGTTTATTTAACTAACGTTGAACATTTAATATTAATAATTAACAGTCCGTAAAATTTTAATTTTAATTATGAGTTTATATATTATACAATGATCTCATAGTGTTTGTTTTTTTTTTTTTTTGAGTGGTGGTACGTGTTTTATATAGTTCAAATAATTCCTACCACTGAATAAAAAAAATATTCCAAATATTGTGTGGCACTTTATACGTATATTATTATTTAGTGTATACAGATAATTGCATATTGTTATATTTAACATTAGAAACATGTTACGAAATGAAAAAGTACATATAGATATATTAAGTTGTTTTGCACAAAAACTTAGTGTTACTTTAAGGAGTTTGAAAAGTTCGACATTTCCTGTAGAGTCAAGAATGTTCTTTACTCATACAATATACATAAGAGTATAATTTAAAACATTTGATATCATATAATGCCACTGTTGACATTATTCATACTATTTATATTGAATAGTGCTGAATCAAAAACTTCTTCTGTAGAAAAAACGTAATTAAAAAGATTAAGTTATACTTTTCCATTTGCTAGCGTAGGTATAACATTTTAAATCTTATATTTATTTTTATAGCTGTTCTACTTTTTGTAATATTTGAAATATTTCATAGCAAAAATATATTAAAAACATTCAATTTTATAAAATTTCTGTCCAAAAAGAGTTTATTGTGAACTGACAGTTTTGAAATTTTGAATACGTAAGTTTTAACTTAAAAGTAATATTAAACTGCATAACGCATATAATATACAGTTTGATAACGTTAATCAGTTAAATAACATTTTTTTATACTTTATAGGTATGGATTTATTTTATTCAGTCTACCGATAATGTAAGAAGTAGTTTTCATAAAAGATTTACTTTGTATTTGTAATATATATGTATATGTTTGTTTCTTTATATAATATATATTATAAATTATAATAAACAAAGGTTTTATCATTATTCGTGAAAAATAAAGTGCATTTAAGTATTGGTTTTTTTTCAATTGTAAAAGCTCATTAAATTTTTTTTGAAATGTTGATATTATTAAGTTGACGCTTATTGACTATTGAGCGAAAATTGATACAAGAAATACTTCCTAAAAATAAAATGTTTTAATAATGTTATAAATATAAATAAATAATGATGATACAATAATGTATTTAAACTAATAGGTGTATGAGTAATAATTTGTAAAACTTAATATAATTTATAGCTATGACATTTAATAATATAATATTATAGTATGGGTATTCAATTTAAAAAACGACTTTGATACATTTATAATATCACGTTCTAATATAATTTTTTTGGTATTAAAATAAGATACATTGAAAAATTTAGTTGAAATAATAAGTAATTATTTTTTTCTTTTAAGTAATAGGTGCCTCTATATTTGTCGATGTGTAAATTATAAGTAATACTATTTTCTTTGACTAAATTATGAACATAATTTTATTCATACATGCAATTTTCTTTTTATCTATTCGTTTTTATAAACTTAATTATCATAATAATAATAATAATAATAATAATAATAATAATAATAATAATAATACAGTCTAATAGAAGTATATAGTTTGTGTTGATTTTAACCTTTTAGAGTTATTAGTTAGGTAATAATCAATATTATTGTCGGATTTTATTCTAGATTCTTTGAAATCGATTTATATTATATAAAAAAAAGAAAAAAAATAGACATATTTTTTATAACTTTATATTTTATGAAATATGTATATATATGTAAACAGATTTAAAAAAAAATTATTAAGTAAATAGTTTTAGTTAAGAAAATATTAAAATGTTTGATGGTAAATTATGGTATAGAATTATACCAAATATAGTAATTAGCAATTATTACTGATACAATGTGCTCACTATACAAACCATATTCTGGAGGCTCGTAAAATTTATCATAATTGGGTGCTTACTACTCTTGACGTTTTGTAGTGGTTGATAGTAGTAATTTTAGGTGTGATCGAGAGGCTATTAATGTAAGTATCGGCGGAAGAAGTTTTTTGTGTTGTGTTTTTCAATCTAATATAATATGTATAAATAAGAATATTTTTTTGGAAAATGTTTAAATAATTTTCCAGCAGATTTATGTCAATCATTTACATATAAGAAATAAGTAAACATATGATTTATTATTGGATGTGTTGAAAATCATATAAGCTAAAATTTCAGTTCTTAGCATGCGTAAGAGATCTCATAAAATAAATTTGAATGGTTCATATTTATAATTATACGTAGGAGTCATGCTAATTTTTACATTATAATCAATGTTCGGTAAGTAGTTCTATAGATCACTATTTATATTAGTAGCTAAACTTTACTACAACAAATTATGAAATTTATATGGGCCACTAGAAAAACAAATGTATTTCTTATAACCAGGTTTTGAGTATAGTTGAGGAGTCTGTAAACATTGATGACAATAGAAGATTTAAGAATGCTTTTTGAATATTGTTTTGGTATTATTCTATACACCATATATAGTATTACGTAACATGTAATATGTGTATTGAATATTGACGTATCACGTATAGTTTGTATTAGAAATTCTGAATGTATTAGATTTAAATTAAACGAATGAAAAATAATATGAAATAGTTTTTATGCATAAATAAACATATATTTAGTCATGTATAATTTTTAAAGTAATCGACAATACTATTTATCGGACTTAGACTAAAATGCAAGTTAATTTATCAAGGAAAATTCTTAAGAATACCTTTCAAAAAGATAGAAACACTTATAAATATAATATCGAAATGTATCATAATGAAATACTATTATTATTATTATTATTATTATTTAGAACAATGATTAATGACATGGTTGTTTTATTATATGAATAGCAAAACAGTCTTTTGTGTCTGAAAAGAAATGATTATTTATCAGTGTTTAAAAAAATAGACGTCGCTAGAATGAACGAGCTAATTTCCACTAGACAGTATATCATGACTAAGGTTTTAGTTTAACATTTTTATTTTTATTTTAAACATTTAAACGACTCACGTTTATTACACAAAAGGATATGAAGTATAATTGACGTATAATTTAAAGCATATTTTATAAATTGGTTGAAAGAAATTTGCCATCCAGAAAAAGGCAATTTGAAATATTTTTTGGAAAATTTTAAGCCAAAAATGAGAGCAATAGTATAGTAATTTTTCAATTATGTACATAATTATTACATTTTAAACAGGTTAAAGTATAAATAATTCTTATAATGTTATAATTTTATGGATATATAAATAATAAGGCATAATAATTATGATATTTTTATTACTTTAAACTTTTAAGATTACCGATAAATACCTTTTAATTAAATTCGCTTACTTTAATTAATTACCACAAAATTTTCAATTTTAAAAAGGAAAATATTTTTTTGATACAAAACCAAAACATTCGACACGTTCAATCCAATACCATACGTGCACATACCTGCAGAGCCAACGTACCCGATGAAAAAAAAAAAAACGTCATAACAAAATATAGGTAAATACCCACTGTTGGAATTATAATTGTTGAAATTGTCACGGGAAAAATCACAGAGACGCTTGATATAATACATAGGAACATTATGTGGTATACAGGTATGGCAGTCTGGCAGGTACCTAAGCCCGACCAACCAATCGCCCTACCGCCAGTCCGCCAGTCATCCAGTACAGCGTGTTCAACGTTATAATGTGTCTGGCACAGTGGTGTGGGAGACCAATATAATAGGCAGCCGACTGCGTGAATCAGCTGCAGAATCGTGACGAACCTCGCAGGCACTCGGGGATCGCCCGTCGTTTTCTTGGTTTTTTTTTTTATAAAAATTGTTTTACTGACGCGCGTTTCATATACACGAAAACTAGCACGTGAACCGTGATTTTTTTTCGTTCCCGAGTTCGATCGTTTCGACGTGCGAAAATCATTTGCCAGTCGAATCGAGCGTACATATTGAGGTTGTTAACGATATCGTATTATATTATTATAATATTTACATGCGAATCGACATTTCGCGAAAATTCCATTAGCAAAGAAGTTCGCGAAAACGTTCGTAAGTACGAAACTGTATAATTTTTACGCCACGCTACACATCATGACGACCTGCAAATCTTGTATCGTGTTGATGAGCTCACTAGTCCTGCTATCCTGCACGCCGCGATCTGCGGTCGCAGTTCAGACGGACGCACAAGCAATGGTCAGTATGACAATATTATTTTGTTTCTGTGTAGGTAAATTGGGTAAGACAGCGGACCGAGAAAACCGTTACAAAACTTCAATGATGTTGACGTTGCTTTTTAATTTTTTCCAAATTAGTAATCAATATTAGAATTATTCTGAACAAACCTATTTATCTAAGAACTTGCGTTTTTCAAATTCTATATAACAACCCAATATTTCTTAAATTAACATAAAATGTATGTAAATAAAAATGTGATTTATACTTACGTGTATAAAATAATTATTTTTATATTATAAAAATAAACACGTGAGATGACCAGTTTTAAGGTCAATTTTTATTTTTATTTTGTGATTTGATAAATAACAAATAATTACAATTTGATAATGAAAATATTCAAAAAATAGTACTTTGTGTTTTATAATATGAAAACGCTTTTAACTAATTTAAAACATTAAGTAAGAAAATATATACTTTGTTTAAAAATAATAATTCATTCAAATTATGTTATTAAAATTTAATTTTTACTATTTTGTTACGCGTTTTATTATACCTTTTATCTGTTATATGCTATATTATAATCTATGTATTTAGAGAACTCGATACTTTTAGATAACATTTTTTTGTTATTAATTATTATTACTTTTTTAAACTGGGGATTGGTAACTGATTATAATTTTTTTAAATCTCTATATTTTTAACTGTTATGAATCTTTAACATTAAATATACCTAACTAATCAAGGTATTATTATTTAAATTAAATAATATTAATTATTTTACAGATGTATTTATCTCAATTTGGTTATTTGAGCCCTTCAATGAAAAATCCAAATTCAGGTCATATCATGTCTGAAGAAACAATGGCTCGAGCGTTAATGGAGTTTCAATCATTCGTTGGTCTAAATCTGACAGGTAAGTGCGTCATTCTACCTAACTCATTCGAATATCATTAAAGAAATCGTATTAATGTCAGTGAACCTATAAAGAGAATTTACATATGGCAAAATAACCAAAGTACGTAAAGAGTTGCCTTCAAGTACCTATTTATGTTTTTTTTTTTTTTTAATATTTTTTTACTATGATATAATATATAAATATAAATATAATATTAAATGAAACTGTTCGTAATATATTGTAAAATTACTAATGTAAATCAACGTGATGACTCAATGATTCATATCGTGATCCAAGGGCGTGAGCATGGAGATTAATGACCTTCTTAACACGCCACTGTCATGGTGTTTTAATCGTACACCATCAAACCAATATATTTTTTATTAGGTATTCACATAGTATAAACAAAAATGTTTAAGATGATTTTTTTCCGGAAGACCTTGGTATAAAAAAAACTCGGTCAAATAAACTTGTTCGGTGGGTTTTTACACGAAACGTATATAATATTTTATTAGATACCTATGCACGTAGTTGGTATTTCATTCAATATTTTGATACTTTTGGATCAGAATGTTTCATGTTGAATTCCCAAATGAGTCACAAATATTTAATTTTTTCATATTTATGAGAAATAATTGACAGCTATAATAAAATAGTTATATTAATATTATATAGTATATGTGTAAACTAACTTTTAGATATTGAATAACTAATAAAAATAAAATGCTGATGAAAATAAATTGCTTTAATAATACATTTCAAATCTGTAGTTAACCATAATGGACATATTTTTGCGTTTAACGTATTTATTTTGTATTTAGAAATATTATGTAATAATAATTCAAGTAAAACTAAAATTGAAAATATATATTCGGTGTTTATTTAGAGGTAGGTATTTAATTAAATATTCATTAAGTTTTATGATTATTTGATTTTAAATATTTTCATGTATTTAGGCTTATAATTAAAAATTTTACTTAATGCATTTTCATTAACTGTGATTAATTTAAAAGACATTTTCTGTATTTTACAACTATTATTCATTTAATTAATTTAATTATAGACTTATGGTCAAAATCTGAGGTGTAATGAATTTAATATTTCTATCATGTGACGTATATTTGAATATTTTTTTATGATAAAAAAGATGGATTTTTAACTTCATAGACGTGTCTCTAACTCAAAAGTAGAAAATACGTTACAACTACTATAAATACTTAAGTTTGTAATATGACACAGAAGATTAAATCATGTGTTAGTTGGTATCTATATTAATATTAATAAAAATAAAAAATGCAATTAACACGGAAAACTCTTATCATAGTACTTTCATACATTTTTTGAAAAAAAAAATTCGGATTGAATGTATTGTAATGTGTATTATGTAGTTTTTAAAATTAAAAATATTGATAATACTATTTAAGGTTAAAATTACAAAATTAAAATTATATATAATTTTATTTATTATTGTTTGTTTGATTGATATTTCCCTATGTCGATTATCTATGACGTATTCGTCCATTTAAATGTTAATGTTAGGTTGACACATGCATTTTTAGTTATTTATTAGTCAACCGCGTTGTTTTTATTTTTGAAGGTCACTTGGATGACGAAACGCTACACTATATGAGTATGCCTAGATGTGGTGTCCGAGATAAAGTGGGATTCGCCACAGACTCCAGGTCTAGGAGATATGCTCTACAAGGTAAATATAAAATTTAATACAAATTAACTTTATTTTTACTATATTAATAACTCAATCAGTAAAAACCTATATTTAGTTTGAGATGTATAGGAAACATTTTATTTTTTAAGACTATTGAAATAATAAACTTTAAAGACAAATTGATACTTCATAATGTATACTCGTAGGTATACATTGACATTTTATATTCAATGTATGGAATTCGTTATTTTTTCTATTATTTAAAATCATAACGTAAGTTACAAGGAAAAAAGAAATATATTTAAGTTATGAAAGTTATAATCCACAAATGAATTAAAAATGTTATTCATTAAAATTATTAGTGAGCAAAGATTTAAAAATGCTTACTCTTTTTAAATTATTTTTATTTATCAAACCAAACGCAATAAATAGTAAGTACGTCTGCGTAACATAATATTCCATTTACAACTAACTGTTGTTGTAGCCTTGATTTTATATTTTCTAATTAAAATACTATTTAATGTTTGAATTCAAATAAACTTCTTATGCATTTATATACCCACATAATATAATTAAATTAAGTTGTTAGTTGATTTATATACACGTAATATTGAAATATAAAAATTCATTAACCGATTATTATATTTTTAACTATAAGAATATTTGTATGAAATGAATTGGGTTTTTATGTTTAATTTTAAAATCTAGCAAAGGAAAAATTAGAAATATTTTTTTATAACTGATTGAAATAATTGCAGTTATATTAAATTGATATTTTTATCATACTAAAGTTACTCGTATTATTTGTTTAGCGCCAACCAAGTGTAGGAATTGAAATCAAAAATAAATACATTGTTCAAAATCAATTTTCTTCAGAAAAAAAAATCTAATAAAAACCATAAATTTTATATGTGGTTTTATTTTCATACTAGTTTTTACACACTATAAAGCGATAAAGTTTAAAATGGAAACAAAGTAGAGAATAAAAATCTAAAAAAAATAAATAATAATTTTATTTGGTACATCGATTTAGGTGTTTTATATTATCGTAAGCAATACTTTAAACTGATATAAAAATATATGATAATATTTGAAATATTGTAATATACTTAAAATAAAATATATTCCAAGTGATTCTGAAATAACAAAACAATAACGATTACTATCGAGCACAAAATGTATAGATTCTGTATTCAACACGGTACTTGGTTTTTGTGCCAATAGTGTTATTTTGCAACAGGTATTCTGCATGAGTTCCATCACAATATTATGCGTGTACCGTATCTATTATTTTGACGTGAAATACTTGATTGAAAAATAATATTGTTTCGATGACATCACATTTACAAATTTCCGCATATTTTTCACTACAATAGAAAAATGAATAATTGCACTTAGTCATAGGCTGTAATAATAATACATATAAACGCGTTGTTATTGTTATTAGTGGTAAAAAAGAACTCTCCCTCCACGCACGCACGCGCGTACACATACAAACATATGAGTATTTCTTAAACGCTGTGGTCCATATTACCTGATTTTTTTTTATAATGTGTACGCGTTAAATCTCTTTTACGCTATTTTGTCAAGTTCAATGCGACCAATTTTCCACTTGTCTTGTCGGTCCTGGACAAAGGACGTACAAATTCATCATATTATATATATACGGCAAGGAGATAACGTAATATTGCAATATATATATATATATTAATATATTTGTATGTTTGTGAGTGTGTGTATGTGTGTAAACCGTCCCTCAAATCTGTTACTGACTTATTCAATGTATATTCTGGGTCACATTTTATCGTACATACACTTATTAGAAATTTCTTGTATAATGTCTGTAGTTAAATAATAACTCAGACGATTGCAGTTTAATATATAATATTATTGTACAATAAATAATAATAATAATAATAAAAATATTGTATAATTCGATTTAAATAGTAAATTGTTACCGTTCAAATATAAGAATATATATTATATTTTGTGTTGTGCGTATTCCAGATAACTGTGAGCTCTTATTTTATTCAATAAAAGATAATAGTGTTTATTAAAAATTCTCCAATTACCCCATAAATACGATTGGTATATTAACACAGTTGCTGAGTATGCATAGAAAGACGTATATTATTATGTAAATTATTTGTATGTACATACCTATAGTATAGTTCTATCAAAGTATGCTCTTTTGCATCAAACTATACAACTCGGATGTTTGAATATCCGGTCCAATCAAACATCATTATTGTCAAGTTTCCTCTAGCCAAAACTGAAACAACAATAAAATAATTGTTTTGCACGCATGCCATTGTAACTTTCCTGAGCACTAATATCATTGTTTAAAATACATTTATGATTATAATGACCCCGAATAACATGTACAATATTTTTGTTATAATAAATTAATTGATAAAAAGGGTACACTAAAATATGTATCAAATGTATACAATGATTGAACGCATTTGTTATTTTGATTTAAAAAAATATAATTGCCATCATAAAAATTGTATTATATTTCATAGTATAAATCGAATAAAAATTAATAAAATGACAATATGCAATATTAATAAAGGTATTATCCTTTTTTTTTAAATTTGGCGTAAGTTGTTAATTGTTTTATTTTTTATAATAATAATAATAAAAATTAAATGGCATTTCTTGTCTTAATAATATATATATTATTAATTTGCTTATTTTCTGAATATTTTGTTGATTAATGTTTTAATTTTAAAATTATACATTAAAACAATAATGTTTGTTAATATATGATATATATATTTTTGTTGTAGATAGGAATTTAACATAATATTATTTAGGTGATGATACAAGAACATAAAAACAAAAGATGAATATTTATTTTGTATAACATTGAAAATATTATATTATTTTTTAACAAATATATATATTTGTATATGCTATTAAGACAAGAAATACCATTTATTTTTATCATTAATAAACTTACTATATCAATACTATAATATAATTAGTATATTTCTTTATTAATAGAATAAAAATTAATATATTAATTACTATATTAATTATATATTATCAATTAAATAACAAATTTGTTTAAATTATTTTATTTTTAACGGCCTTTCTTAAACTAAATAATAATAAAAAAAAAAAAAAAACAATATGATTGTTACTTATTTCGTCATGAACGTCTATTGATATTATTTCCTATCGTCGTACACGTATGCAATTATCGTGTAATGCCATGACAAATTGAGTTTTGATTTTCGTGTATAAGACTTAAAAAAAATTATTTAAACGATATTGAACATTTTTACGCTTGTATGAGTATACATTAAAATGAAACGAATTTCCGTAAAAAATCCGACAGATTTGCGTACTTATATCCAATGTGTGTATATTTTTCACTATGATGATAATAATAATAATAATAATAATAATATCAACAACAACAACAGAAATAATAATAACACTAATGTATTGTGTTGTTTAAAAAAAACGTATACTACGTAGAATAATATAAATAATGTAGGACTCGGAAACACTCGTAGGATCAAGGAAATGAGACAATATTATATTTGTCATACGAGAATTGTTGTTTATGTAAGCTGTGCTTATGATAATTATGCATATTTCGATCTAGCCGATTAATCTCCTCTAATTATTCGGTACTGTGTGTCATACACAAATGTATTTATATTATGTACACATTACATATGTTATATAATATATTATTCATAATATTCATGGTATTATGTGCAATGTATATATGTATTTATAGGTAGTCGGTGGAGGGTGAAAGACTTGACGTATAAAATATCCAAGTATCCTAAACTACTGGGTAAGTCGGAAACGGACTCGGAAATCCGGAAAGCATTCGACGTATGGTCTGAAGTTACACCGTTGACGTTTACTCACAAAAAGTCTGGACAAGTAAGTTTAGAATATATTATAATACATAAATATATTGCTGTTTTGAAATAATTAATTAATTATAAAAACTAGTTTTGAATTTAATTTTAATTTTAAAATTTAAAATAAATAAATAAATAAACCAATAGTTATATTGTTTTATAATTTATATATTAATCACATATATAATTAGAATTTGGTTTATTATTTGTCAAATAATGATAGAAATTTGGTTTTTACTCTTTTGATAATATTGCCATTAAATAGTTTTTTAAAAATCTGTATAAATAGGTGCACATCGAAATCAGATTTGAAAAAGGTGAACATGGCGATGGTGATCCATTCGACGGACCAGGTGGAACTTTAGCACATGCTTTTTTTCCAGTTTATGGTGGTGATGCTCATTTTGATGATTCGGAAAAATGGTCAATTGGTTCATTTAAAGGTTAGATTGTGATTTAAGTACAACTGTTTTAAAATTATATTATTTAGTTTATCATAAGTTACTTTTAGTTAAGTTTTAATGGTTTGATTTTGAAATTACCGATAATTTCATTATTATTCATAGTGTTTTAATATGATTAAACATTTATAAATCACCTGTACGTCAATATCAAATTTAAAATTGACTAGTGGGGACATGTAAAGTATCTGGTATGTTATTAATTACTAAAATATAATTATCCCTAAAATTCTTGTTAAAAAAAAAATATACTGTAAAATAAATAGCTTTTCTTCTTCACTTTAAATATAACTATTTTACTTTTTAAAAATTACTTTTGAAAGCTTTTTGTTTTAACTAAAGATTTTTGTAAAGTGATACAGCTTTTGAAAAATTTTTAAAAGGACACTTTTAAAGTTAAAAATGGTCTTAATTAAAAAAAAAGTAGATGAATGAAGGTTTTTATAAAATATTGAAAAGTTGAATAGTAATATGGTATATATATATAGTACCCCCAGTAAGATTAACAACCATTGATGACAACACAGGTTGAATAAAAATGAAAAAAATGTCCTGTTATCATTATAAATAATTAAGATATGAAAAGATACCTAATTCTTTTTTTAATTTTTATTTAGAAAATATATTAATTTATTTACAAATTATTTATTTTATAATCTTATAATACTGATATTTACACCTATATAATATATTTGAAAAATTAATTTTTATTAAATTATTCAATGTATAATATACATTATGTACTGCAGATGGTGATATATTGAAATTTTTGAATATTTTTTTTACAGGTACTAACTTGTTTCAAGTAGCAGCTCATGAATTTGGTCACTCATTAGGATTATCTCATTCGGATGTCCGGTCTGCATTAATGGCACCATTCTATAGAGGTTACAATCCGTCATTTAGTTTGGATAGCGATGACATAGAAGCCATTCAGGTTGATTTTAAAACAATTACCTATTGTATATTAAAATATACGAGCCATGGACTAAATATTTATTTTTATCTATTTGTTCAGGCTCTGTATGGTGCTAACTCCGCGTCAGAAGGATCAGACAATGACGACGACAGCACTGGCCAAGGATCAGGTAAAAAGACAACAACGCAAGAACCGCCAGGCGCAGAGGGCAGCGACGCTGAATTATGTACAGATACTAAAGTGAACGCTTTGTTCAATTCAGCCAACGGCGAAACTTTTGTGTTTAAAGGTACGGTTTCATATCGGTCGTTAAGTATTCTTTATTTTGTATGATATTGTAAAATAATGAAAAACTGCGTTCTCTGTGTAGGTGATTATTATTGGAAGTTAACGGACGACGGACTTGCTCAAGGATTCCCCAAGCCTATCGCAGGCACGTGGTCTGGCCTTCCAGGCAACATAGACGCTGCATTTACATATAAAAACGGTAAAACTTATTTCTTCAAAGGCACAAAATATTGGAAGTACACTGACACTACAATGGATGATGGGTATCCAAAAGACATAGCCGAAGGCTTTGCCGGTATCCCGGATAATATTGACGCCGCTCTTGTATGGAGTGGAAACGGAAAGATTTACTTTTTCAAAGGTTGGTTTTATGTAATAAGGACATATTATATTGTTTCGTTCTCTTGCATTCGTTTGGTACAAATTAATTTAAATACCAATGACATTTTACTAATAATACAATGTTACTTAATATTATGTGTTTCATAACTAACCCGTTTACGTTATCTTAACTAAGCAACGACAACTAAGTTTTTTTGAAAACTTAATATTTGACCTTTCTTCTACTGGATGGTAAGTAGTTACTAAAAACATTTATAACACAAAGAAAATCAGCACAAACAATTTTATACTATATTATATAAAACTATATTTATTGAGCTTGAATATACCATATACATATACCTGAGTAGGTAAATTATTTTATAAGACTATTAATGCTTTTGCTTATTACACTTGAATACGTTAGAAACTAAAAATAACTTACTTGAATCATGTAGTTATTTGTTTTTTTTTTCAACATTTTTTTGTACAATTTAAAACAAATACTGTAACTTGACTAAGTAGTTCAACTTTTTTTTTTATGCTTCATGTTGTTTAGATAATGTTTTAGGTAATTTAGGTAACTTATACTTGATAGACTAGCGTGAAAATTTTGTTTTATTCTAAAATCGTCATGAGCTATAAGCTGTTCAATATCAACATTGACTAGTAGCTTTTGGAAAATTAATTTTGTAGGGCGCTTAAGATTTTCTTGAGCTTTTATTTTTAAATTATTGCTTCATGCTTGTCTGTCCAATATGTTTTCACAATCTTTGTCATGATTGTTTTTGAGGTTAATTTTTTTAATATTATTTAAATAATTTATTTTTAAAAAATGATTTGCATTTTCTTTTTGTACAAATCCAACATTCGATATTTCCTGATAGTTCTGTTTGGAATTCGTATTTAAAACCATTAATCATGAAGAGTTTTTATTTTTCTCACTTAACATTACTTCCATTAGTATTTTCATTTTAACGCACGTGCTTATATTTCAATAAATATACGTCTGACTAGGTTAGTTGTTACAAGACTAACGAGAAACAAACAATCAATTTACTAGATATAAAATTATAAATATAAACTTTCCCAGGTATCGTAAAATCTAACAAAATATTATAAGATTATTAATTTGCACATATTTTGTAATAGTTGTATACTGGAAAGTTATTTTTTCGGGAACCAATTCGTACACTTAATTTTACCCAGGAACCAACTCCGCATTACCCTTTTTTTATCTGACCTTTTTGGAGCGAAATTTAATTCAATATTCGTTATTGAATGTGGCTATGATAGCATCACATCTCAAACACCTTCAACTACTTATCTGCTATATCCAATTTCTTAGTTATACACTTTTATGGATTTGTTCATACAGTGTTAATTATTATTTATATTATTTTCAAGGAATATAACATTTTCAATTTATACTCTGTGTATGTAAATGTTAGAGAATACTGAATAATTGTTGCTACAAATAATGACTAGAGCGCTTTGTTTTTATTAAGGTTAGAATAATATGCATATAATACAACATAAAATATCCTTAGTAATAGATTCATCAGTCTCCTTCGCTTAGAATTGTTTTTCGTATATCTGCAATATTTTATTAAAATTAAACACATCCATTATACTCATTACAGAAACCAATTCACTGACCAGATACGTTCTAAATTTACTAAACAGCTGAGCGAGTTCTCTGATTTTAATTTTGTTTTGTATTAAAATTAAGAGCTTATCTAATTTATTGTTATTGTTATTATGAAATCAATACAAGTAGGTACTTACATTATTGCGTCTTATTTAGTATTATTTTAATAATTTTTGAATGAGAATTCAATTATTTTCATGAATTGTTATTTATTTTATTTTTAACTTGTATTACTATTTATTTTACTTTTAATTTTTATAGTTAATTACTTTTTAGATAACTATAATATTTAAATGAAAGTATTTTTTCTGAGTTATGTTTTAATCTCACGCATTTCTCCAAGTTAAAAAACTAATCGATATTAACTTCTGACTATGATTAATTAGAAGTATAATAATTTGTACTTATTTTTCTTTAATATATTAAACTTTGAAATCGCTCATAAATCAAAAAAAAAAAAAAACATTACTTAGATATTAAAAGCTTTACAATACAATTAAAATATAAATAAAAAAACAACCCACGAGTTGTTTTTTATAAACTATTTAATAATTATTATTCATTCTAGGCTCAAAATTTTGGAAATTCGACCCAATGCAAAAACCTCCTGTAAAGAGCACATACCCGAAGCCTATTAGTAATTGGGATGGTATACCAGATAATATAGATGCAGCTTTGCATTACACTAATGGCTATACATATTTCTTCAAAGATGAAAATTATTATAGGTTCAATGACAGGACATTTGCAGTCAGTATATTATATTATTATTATTACTTTTTTTTTTTTTTAAACGTTAACGTCGAAAAATTATCAATTTTTTCAACTTGTCTAAAAAAATTGTTCGTTTAAATTTCTCAGGTTGATATTGCGGACCCACCTTTCCCCCGTAATGCTGGATATTGGTGGTTCGGCTGTAGAGCTGAAAATAAGGGACATCGGAAAGAAATGACCGCTGTGCCCAGTATACTTAGACCGACGTGGATGGAAGTGAGACGAGATCACAAGGGCAATCAAAACACAGATGTCGGTGATCTGATATTGGACGCAGGTGAGACTTTTGTTTAACACGTTATGAAAAATGGGCTGAAGGGGCCTTAGATATAATTGCTATCGGTGTGTTTCTTTTTAATTTTTCTGTTATTATTTTTATTTATACCGAGTGTTCGATTACTTGAACAATTAGACTTAAAAATAAAATAAATGATTCACAAATCTGTTCTGTGTGTGTGCATGTACTGTGTTTGCCAAATAGTCGAAATTAATCTAATCGAGTTTTTGAAATATCGATCTGTAATCGAACACTTAGTGTAGAATGCACGTTTCCTTTGCGTACGGCAATCGAAAAATTAAAAATGCACTCACATAAAGGTGCATATTTGGTGTTCGGTCGGTGTAGTAAACATGATTGTACATACGGCGCGTTTAAAATACATATGATTAGTATCGCCGTGTAAGTTATTCCGTTAAATTGTTTTGGATGCATGACGATATTATGAATTTCAAATGATTCCGGTGTTTGATCAGGATCGTTGAATACGTCAAATTTTATTGACCAATGACAACTATTTTCACATATTGTAAATATTGTTATAATGTCCCTTTTCATGGCACCGGAAATATTGTGATCATTTAACGTAATCGGTTAATGTATTTGCGTACTTGGGTGTCAGTATTTTTTTTTCTGTGAACGGTGGTTATTTATTTTTTTCTGGATTTGCTTATTATTTTTTTTTTACGGATACTTGTGTATCCACTATTGTTTGCTGGTGTAAATGCATGGTATGGTATTATAATAATTTAGTGCTGTGTTTTAAACAAAATTAAATGTATATAAAATGTTTGAATTTGTTTATTTATTTCATATTTTATTATATGTACAACATTACTGATTCCAACTTAATATTATAAGTGGAATGTGAATACATATTATAGTAATTATATAGCAAAACGGCGCACGAATTAAATAGGTGTATATTATGTATGTATTATATTGACAAGTAAGATCGGTTATTATTTTTGAAAGTAAAACTTACCCAAAAGAACGCATACAACTGTTCCATCGGTTTTATAAATTTTACACTTGGTTTTTCAGCATGACACTTGCGGTTTGATTGATTGCTATTTTTATGTTGTGCGAATAACCATTGTATTGTAGCCATATAATTGACGTTCGTTTATTGCACACGCTTAAAAAAAATTTTTTTTAGAAAATTACTTAAAAAAAGTTTATGTATTTTGAATCGTAAACGATAATATTATGGACTCATCATATTGTATATTGTTATATTACATGTAGCTGCATAAACAAGTTGTTCGGTGTTGAACGATTCGCTCGCATTATGGATATTGGTATGCTGGTATATGCTGGTTAGAAAAAAATCTATAGATATACCGCTTTTGAAAAAAAAAAATTTAAAAATGTCCATCAACAAATTTTAAATCATCGGTATTGGATTGTTGTTAACAGAAGAAGATAGTGGCCACACAAGTATTTTGAAAATGTGATACTGTGCGGGGGACCGCATCGATTTATTATATTGTTTGTTGAATGTTTTGGACACGGTGTAATACCTTACCTACACGTCAAGTGCCGAATACAACTACTGGACCTACCGAGTTATCGACCGACTGCAACGCCACCGTGCCGGACGTATATTTTTTTGTATATATTGGTATGCCTATACAAATATGAAAAAAAAACAAATAATTGTTATTAGGATTCAAAAGGTCTTTGTACAGCCTTTAATATTTATTCCGAACTTTGAATGTACGAGTTCAGCGTTGGGTCGACTTTTTAAGAGACTGAATTTTACACTTCGTTATATAATATTATATACCTGTATTTAAGACAATTTTATATTTAGTTTTTATAGTAAATATTATTTTATTGTAATAAAAATAGGTATATGTTTGTTTTGTTTGAAAATTGATATTATTCTCATTTCTTGTAGATATGATATTATTTTTTTATTATTTTGTATTTTATTTTAATAATTATTATATCATGATACGTGAAACATACTATGTCGTATTTATATATGTAGTACATTGTTCAACTTTCACAGTTTTTGATGGAAACTTGAAATATTGTTTGAAAATATAGAAATTGTAACTGATTTAAGCGTATTTTATTGTAAAATTATGTTGTTTTTTGATACATTTATGTAATTGAAAACAATTAATAATTTTAACGTCTTGAATGAAAGTTTAAAAAATATTTATCAACCGTCTCGTTGTTAAATTTATTAGAAATATAATTTTATTTAGTTTATTACAATAACTAAAATATAGCTGTTTCTTATAAAATAGATTAAAATTATAAAAATCAGTCTTTTAAATATTGTTTCTATTGCATGATTGGTGGATAAAAAAAAAAAAAAAATGTTAATTTAATGGTTCTAATTCTAAAAATTCAGCAAAAGTTTTTTATACAACAATATGCAAGAAAAAAATCATACAAGGAAATACAAAGTTGTGTTAGTGTTATAAAATAAACTTGAAAGCAAGATAAACGACGATGCGTAGGAAAAAAGGCATGTGGCAATTTAATAGCTATGGCGGAGCGGAAAGATTCGAAGAACCGACGAAGACGAAGCTTAGCCGATTATACGTGTGGAGAGCCCCTTAAAAAATTGATGAAATTACAACTATTATTCTTCTTTAAAAAAAAATATTACCAAGCAATAATTTCATATTTAAGTATGAATATTATTTTATAAGTTTTATCAAACGATGGCTGATAAAGTATGGTTTATTTCTAAATTGTGTTATAAAATCAAATAAAAAGACTTAACTATTACCAATATTATAAATTATTAAATTTTACTACGCTTTTTTAAATAAATAATGATTATAAAATTTTCAAATTGCTTATTTTATTTAAAAAAATAAAAATTATAATTAGGCATATATGGGACATAATTTAATAAAAGTCAATCAACTGGAATATATACGATAAATTGTATTTTTGATATGACATTCATTTTTTAAGCTGATTTATCGTTGGTTTTTTTTTTTTTGTAGCACCTCCATTAGATTATTTAATATGTATATTTTAATTAATTTTTTTGATATTTTATGAGTTTGAATATCATATAACTTTTTGTCTTTTGAACAGAAAACATTAAATTCTATTAATGTTTTATAATTTAAAAAAAATATTAGTGTATATGGTGTATTTAGAAATAATATTTTTAGAATATGTTATATAATATAATATTTTTGGAATTTTTAATAGTCTAAAAAATATTTGTAAATAGTAGCCTTAATACAGACATATGAGAGATCTAAAAACAAGAACGAAAACATTTGTTTACATATTTTTAATAATTCTTTAGATTTGGCGTTTTAACTGATTATTATTCTGTGTAGGGATTAACTAAAAATGTTTTGATCACTCGTGGAATCTTTGGACAAATAATTAATAATTGCAAAAATGGGTTTTCTTTTAAACTATGTATAATGTTTATTTGTCAAATGTAAATTTCATTATTTTAAAATTGTGAAAATACTTAAAAGATTAGTAACAGTTATTATACTTTGAATACATAATATGTAAGCGGTAAATTGTAATTAATTTTATCAAGCAAAAATAAAATATATATCTTAAAATATTTAAATGCTGTAATTCAACTGTAAAAAATATAATATATTTTATGCTATATTTTACTGTTATATATCCGTTATGAATATTTTAAAAATTCGTTTAGTTTTTTTTTTTCTTAAGATGTTGGTTGTTTTTACTAGTTAGAAATTTGCTTTAAGATAATCATAAACCATAAAAGAAGATCTTAGTAAATATGTAATATTCAATGCATTCTAAAAAATATAAAGAGTGGTTTAAAATTAGAATTAAAAAAATGCAGTTACTTGTTACAATAGTTTTTTTTTGAAGTACCGGCTGACATAGAAATCTGGTTTAAGATTTCATTTTTTTTGTTTTTTTTTTTTGTAGGCTTATTCATTTGACTTATTCATCCAAACTTTGAAATTTTTTCTGGCAATATTATCATACTACCTAGTGTTTTTAAAATGATTTTTCACAGGATAATAACTTGTTCTGTATTTGTAAGATGATTTTAAGTTGACTAGACTCCAAGTATACTAATGGATTTGTTTTGTAACTAGAAGAAGTATGTTATTGTTTTATCTAAACTATATGTTGTTATATATATCATTAAAAAACATGATTACAATTTATTTTTTAAATAATATTATACTGTTTAGAAGCATAAAATTTAATTTAATTTATACAAATAATCGACCTTTTAGCTTATAATTTATCTTTTTAAAATAGTTCATATATTATTTATAGTGATGTTAAGTGATTAAAAAAAATAAAAATATATATGAAAAGTTGGACAAAGCTTAATAAGTTCAATATTCTTATATTTTTAAGAAGATAACCACATTTTTTTATAGCTTTCTGTAATAATTATCTAAACTATTCTTTATATTCACAAATATTTTATTTATCTTTTCTGATATACTTTCCTAGTCTGCGATACACGTGTTAAGTAAAACTAGTTTTACAACTGTTCATTTTAAAATATACTACATTTTATAAGAAAAAAAGTGTAAACAAAGTTTTTTTGTGACGAACACTTTATGAAGTGTTAAACTTAAACATTTAATATTTAACGTTCAGTTTTAAATTTATAATTTTGTATAATGTTAAATGATATGTGTCATGAAAAACGAAAATCAAAATTTATTAGATCAAAATAATAAGAGCTTAACCTATTTTTAAATATAAGACTATTATTTTTTATAACTTCAAGATACTATCTAAAAGATAATTAAAGAGCGTTTAGTTTAAGTTTAATTTAATTAAAAAAACTATATTTTAATTTACAGCATAGATTAAATATATTATATATATATATGTAAATGCATATTTAATCGATGTTTACCATATTTTAGTTTATCATATAGCTTATATAATTGAAAAAAAATGTTTAGGAATTATTTATTTTAATTTCGAAAAAACACAAGTAGTTAGATTTTGAACATGAATACTCCACTAGGGGGCGCATGTATCAACACTACAATATCGTGGTTTTTCCGAAGAGTAGCAATCAATAAGGTCAAGTGCCTTATTAAGGGATACATTCGATAGTGGTACACAGACAAGTGTCCCTATAAAATAATTCAAGTGACTTCCCAATGTCCTCATCCCGTGAAAAAGGGATCATTAATTTTGTGCAATATTTTACTGATTAAAAATGCAAATATTGTAATTTTTTTTTAAAGATAACTCTAGAAAATTCAATGAGACGCAGTTGAGGTTTGATAGAAGTAGTTCATCAAAACACACAGTTACTACTTTGTGTATTATCTTGACCTCATTGTGGTGGTGCATTTCCTGAATTTCCGGAACCATATTCTGAGTTTCAATGTTCCAGGCGTTTCAGATACTCAACCGTTCGTAATTCATAACTGTGATAAAAAACTAAACTACTTATCCATTTATATTGTACTTGTATTTTTTATATTTTTGTATGTTTATATTTATTTATTTATAATTTATTGAATGACCGATTCATTTGAAAACCCTACAATATTTTTTGTAATACTTATTACACATGTTAAATTAATTTTTGGGTTATCTAATAATTATAACACTGTACAATAGTTTAATATATTGCCGTTATTTCAACCTAGTATTTTGTTGCTTTATAATTACATTTTTTATTGTTATGGTTATCATTCTTCAATACTATTTCATATTTTATAACAATATTATTCAACTATGTTTTTTTTCCTATATTCCTATTAATAAGTAGCTATCTTAGATAGTATTTCGAAATGATAATGTTCCAAGAAAATATTTCAGAATAACTTAAACAATATAAATATGATATGATTTTATTTTTTTAAATGTATCTAAAACATTATCATTTCCTAAAGTATTATCTGGGATATGTATTATTGATTTTCTTTAATGTTATAATTTTATTATTATTTTATCGACATAAAATTAATTAAATATTTTCATTTTGTGCCATAAATTTATATTGTATTTTAGGTATTATTTTATATTGTATAAAAATTAGTGAATTGATCGATAACGTGTTTTTAGCAATGTAAATTTTTTTATAATATTGAATTTGTAATTGATACATACACGCTTATATATTATATCAATAATTGATTTTTTATTTGAAAATTAAATACATTTATTTATATGAAAATGCTATACTAGTTGCTCCTTTACATTTTTAAATGTATATAATATCAATAATGTACGATTTTATTTTAAAGTTGAAAATTTATTATTAAACACAAATTAATTATTACTCGATAAATGTATAAATTTATTAATGTATACATAAGATTCTAAAATGAGTGTGTTTGACATTTGACAATTAATTACTCATAAATAAATTATGAACATTTGGTGTGAATAAACACATTTTTCTTTTTTTTTTTTCAGATAATTAATACATAATATTTTAGAATATTGAATGCTATATAAATACATTTTAAAATTAATTTATGTAAATATATTATGTTTGTAAGTTTGAATAGGTTCAAGATGTATTTTTCATAAATTATTATATGGAAAGAAGCTGATATTTTTTATTATTAAATTAAATATAATAAGTAAAATATATTAATAATTAAAATTTGACCCAATATTTTTTTAATTAATAAGTATATTATAAATGTATGACAGTTTTAAATAATATAAGAATTAAAAAAAAAAAAGTATGAATAATTTTTCATGTTAAGATATCAAATTATACACAAATGTTTATTTATACTTTGTAGATTTTTAAATAAAAATATAAAATATAATCTAATGTATTTACTGCTGTACTAATTAAAATCTTATCTTTAATTTAATAAAACTGTAAAATGTTGCTCT